GCTAACTTTGGGTCCAAGAGCCCAGACTAAAGAGTCCGATGAGCGATCCTGCAACTGGCATATTTTTGTATGGTATTAGGGAAGATGAATGATGGCTGTGTTTGGGCAGACTGTTTCCATAATGTAAGAGAGAGAAAATCAGCTCATTGTTGACCCAGATTTTGTCATAAGGAATTTGAAAGTTCCCTGTGGGTTCACCTGAAAGGCATTTGGAGTCAAGGAGAAAATGCACGTTGACGTACATTGGATTTTGGTGAGCATCTGCTTGAGAAAGCAGTGCTTTATGGTCATCCTGGCCCCATAGTGCTCACCTAATAAAACAGTCCACAATTAATTTGCAAGTTTGAGGCGAGTTCAGTCAAATGAGCTCTTTTCTAGCTCCTTTTTTTAAAAACCCAAATTAGGATATAATTACCCACACAGCAACAGTTCAGTCCGAGAGACTCCTTGAATGCCATTTGGAGACGTATCGTTTCCAAATGCTGCCAATGTTAGCTAAAACTTCAGAAGCCTGAGCCAAACTGAGACACACCGTTTTTCCTTCCTTCCTCCTTCTATTTTTCACTCTTTTCCTCCCCACTGCAACTAAAAATAATGTGCCCCGCTTGCCTCATTTGCTAACTAAAACATGTATACCTGCTCGTTAAGCTGTAATTTTAGCTTCACTCTGATTGATAGCTCCAGTAGAAAAGGTTTGAATTTTTGTCTTGTACAGACACATTCAAATTGCTTGGCAAGGCTGTTAGATGCGTTGCCTTTGTAGTCATTGTGCAGACTGGAGCTTCCCTGGTGATTGAAAAAAGTTTAAATGAATTTAATGAATTTGGGGTTCTTTCTCTTTTTCCCCCCCCTTTTTTTTTTTCAGCTAGTGCTTATTAAAGCACTGGATGTTTTGGAATGGTGAATGCATACCTTCTGAGTGAAGTGCAGCCAGAGCTACAGCTGCAGCTCTCTTCCTATACGTGTTGCTCAATAGGCTTGTGGGAACTGATGGAGCAGACTGTTGGGAATGCCAGGCAGGACGGCTCCGCTGTTGTTACTGGCTTGAGCCCAGTTTAATACCTCGTGTGTAGTTGGATGTAGGAGAGACATTGAAGAGGTGTTACTAGAAAAATGCTGCTTTAAAATGGGACCCTTAAAAAAGCACAATTATGTTAATGTTTGTTCTAATCGTACGCTCTGGTGTATCTCATGTACCTGAGGAAGCAGTGAGGCTTTATTTTTAATGGCTTCATCCCTACTTGCAGCCAATGGGCCAAGTGCTTTGCCTGTCTGCTAGTCAATAAAGGGTCTGGATGCATTGCCAACCATGTGCGCTGTCTGCCATGGGCTAACATACAGGGCATGGAAAGTACTTGTGTGACTTCTAATGAAGTACTAATAGTGCCGTGACTGATGATATTTCTTCTTTGGTAGAAGTAGCATTGCCCTGAGTTGAATTGAGCCTGGATAGGTGTGGGGGACTGTTAGTGTGTAAAGTTTTCCTTTGTAAGAAGACTTGGAAAAAGTGGAGAAAGGGAGAGAAAAGACAAAAGCAAGTCGTCTAGACTGAGTTTGAAGACAGTATTCACTTACTGGTGCTGCTGAATAACTAATGCAGAGCAACTCTGGCAGGGCAAGAATGTCCCTACTGGGTCAGGCTAATGCCCTGTAGGTGACTGTGGCTGGTAGTGAATGCTTAAAGGTGAACCAATGTATATCCTTTCAGCAATCAGAGGCTCTAACCTCAGCATCTGGACCATCATGGTCCAGCAAACAATAGAATAGTTAGGGCTGGAAAGGACCTTAAGATCACCTAGTTCCAATAGATCTACTGTCTATCAATGTATTTCACCTCTGGAACTCTGGGTAAAACTCTTGCCACCGCAACCTTTTGTGGCAATGAGCGCTAGGACTAATCCCATTCCCTTAGACATAGGAACAAGTTCCACATTTTAATAGCTCAATGTATGAAAAATGTTCTTTGGCTTTTCTCTAAGCTTGTGGTCAGAAGGTGTTACCAGGCACTCAGTGTTTGCTTTAATAGGAGGATTTATTCTTTCAAATCGGCTTCTCCATTGGAGGCAGGCTTCCACTCAGCTCTGCTGATAAGAAATCTCAGTCAACTGAAGATAAAATTAGCTGTGAGACTGTAACCTTTTGTTAGAAACATGGGCAGTAATATCCTCAGGTGTTAAAAGCAGATTCAGAAGAGAACATCTGCCCAAGCTTTGTACTGTGAAAACCAGCTTTTAGAATGAAAGAACCTCTGAACCAGAGGGAGCATCTCTGTGTTAGAAAGACTGATTTATTAGATCCTTTTCTCAGATTTAGCTGGGGGTTGTCCTTTTTGAACACGCTTCTTTTTCCTTTGGGTACACTTTGTTCCTCCCTGGGTACACAGCTGATGTCTCCTTGCATATGTCTTCAAAAGCAACAGTCATGCAAGTAAACAAAATTGTGGTAATAAGTGGGTGAAATCACAAGTCAGTTCATTTCCCTGCACCATTTCTTTGTAATCAGTAGATACAGTCACTCCAGAAAATGCAGAGGAGGCTCTGCTATCCGTGGCATGCCATGCCTGCAGTTAGCACACATTTTAAATCACAGTTCTAGAGCTTATTTATACAGCTAAATGTCATATGTTTAAAAATAAGGAGTTTATTCAGAAAGAAAAATTCCCCCCCCCAGTCATTAATTAATGGAAGGAGACTCATTCCCAGTGTGACAGCCAGCTTGAATTATTCCAGGCCTTCTCTAGAAGTCAATTACCTGCTGGAAAATCTGTTCACTCCACCAAGTTGGTCCAAGTTCAACAGTGAGAAATAATGAAGCAAGGATATATAGCAAGAAACAGTAGATTTCTCATAATTGCTTGTGCATCTCGTATCGTGTCAATCCCATTCTAAGACAACAAGGTTTTGAACATTCTAAGACATTCTAAGACAACAAGGTTTTGAACATTCTAAGACATTCTAAGACAACAAGGTTTTGAACATTCTAAGACAACAAACAGGTTTTGGAGATTAAAGTTAAGAAAAGTAGGGTTTAGGCAAGCAGTGGCTTATATGTTTTTTGCAGTGGAACAGTTTGCTTTTTGCTTATGTGTAGAAACCTTCCTGAAAACGCAAGTGACAGAGGCATTCTTAACTACATGTAGGACACTTGGTATCACAGTTTTTGACTCCTCAGTGTCTTACCTCAGACTGAATTTAAGGTGAAAGAAGATGGCTGTGCCATAGAGCACTATCACAATATTGCAACTGCTGCTCTTCAGAATCCTCAGCCCAGCTTACAGCCTCTGTGAAGCACAGGCAGTCACACACAGGTACACCGGTCTCCAAGAAAGCTTCCTTCATTCTTTTGCCTGGTCTTTCAGCTAACACATCTGTCTGGACCCCAAATGAGCAGGATCGGATGAACTATAACCACAGTGAACTGCTTTGCTGGACTGTGGCTGCAGCTCAATAGCCCTCCCAATATAGTTTTGCTCTTTGCTCCCAACTTCTACAGTTTCATAATGGAGCTCTAAAAACACATTTCACAGTGAAACTTGGCAAAGTGACAGCCAAGGAATCATTTTCCTTAGTAATTTTAAATGCATCAATACAGTCACTGTTAAGATATTCTAAGAAACGGAGGAAGGGGGAATAACAGTATTTAAAAAGCCTGATGTCTCATGTTGGTGCTGATGGGGAGATGTCATTTGTCTTTTGTTCCTAAAAAGATCTGAGATCCAATAATTTCAAAATATTAATGGCACGCTACATAAGCATCAAATGAATACATTGACTAGGGCTGAGGCTGCTCTTTTCCAGTGGATTCCTAACGTGACTTGTCTAGTAAAACGAAAAAGCCTAATTGTAGGGATTCAAGCAGTTGACAAACCAGAAGGGCTCTGATGGGGTTGCTCTTGTCTTGTAAAGCTTTCTAATTACAAACTTACCCAAGGAACCGTTCTGATCTTCAGGGTAAGTACTATAAGATTGATAGAAAATGTGATGAAAGGGGGTTTGGGGCATTTTGGGTTGATTGGTTTGGTTTGATTTTTGGTTTTGTTTTGGTTGGCTGGTTGGGTTGTTTTGGTGTTTTGAACAGGTACTGAGTTTGTGACACAAGCTAGCAACAGCTCAGCCAGGAAATCCAGAGCTGCGCTTGACTCTGCGTTATCAGCCCATTGTCATGGTTTGTCTTTCCACAAGTAAAGCCCACACCAGACACACAGTAACTCACAACTGCCTGGGAGGCATTTCTTTAGCTGGTACCATGAGATGATTTGGAAGTCATGAAATCTGGGGGCAGGAGCCAACGTACCCACTATGTTTTCTAGCTTGCCTTTGGAGGAGAGAGGTCCTGTAGTTGTCTAACATCAAGTAAAGATCTCTCTAACTGACTGCGTGTATCTGGCCAGGGAAAATGAGGTAAAAAGATGCCAGAGAAGAGGCGGTAGCTGAAAGGCAGCTATTGGTTTGGAAGAGCATCAAGTGGGAGAAAGGGGAGCCTGCACTGGTGCTGGGACAATGCAGGGAAGAGATGGATGCCGAGGAAGGTTCATGCATGCTTAATATCTTCAGAGGACCAAAGTCCTCACTTCTGCTAGGGGATGTACAGAATAATTTCCTTCTGTTCTGTAGAACTGCTGTTACTTCACGCTAAGATCAGAATCTGGCCGTGCGTTGTAAAGAAATGTCTTTTGAGATGTTTTTAACTTGTGGGGAAAAAAAACAACAAAGAATGATCAGTGCCATTTTTGGTTTTCTGGACGTGCCTGTCAGATTGGAAGTGCCCTCCTGATTCACACTGTGGTGATGCACAGCAGTGTTTGCATTCTGAGGAGGAGGAAGTGAAACAACCACATGTTCAAAGGGAAACATACTTAATGAATCCACATACATTAATTTGCCACCAATGGCGATCCTTAGTACCAAAAAATGCACGTTCTCTGCAGTAAGCATCAAGTGAGACAATGCCATGCAGATTTGTGATTTATGGTGCTTCATTTTATTGCCTTCTAGGTTTGTACCTGCTGAGAAAAGAAAGACCCAGGCGATGGCAAAGACCTCCTTCTGCTTCATCTGCCCAACTTTTTGGTATTGTTTGAATGAAGACTTCTCAGGCAGCTGTCATTTGTTTTGCAGCCACGTAATTCTTAAAATGTGCTAGAAATATTCAATGAAAACCAGCAGTGAAACAAACAAACAAGACTACAGAACACACTCGAAAAAGTGACTTATTATTTTTAACTGCTTTTACAAAAGGACTGAGCTTTTAATAATAGTCTGCTCTTGTAAAGCATCTCTCAGATGCGGACTTCAAAATGTGGTAGACAAATTGTCTCAACATGTCTGTGGGCTAGGTAAGTACTATTAATCCCTTTTTACGGAGGGATAAAACCGAACATCAGAGAGCCGAGAGCACTGTTTTCCAGCTTTGGTGTTGCAAAAAGGACTGTCAGAGCTGTGAGAGTATTGTGTTAAATTTCGCCCCCTAAGTCCAATTTAGCCTTTTGCCTTTGCAGCAGATGGTTTGTTATAACTGCATCTTTTCTGGTCACAGGTTATAAAATGGGCAAAGGCCGGGGTGGATGTGAGAAATGGACAGTCCTTCATTCCCAAGACATGCAACGTGTATCTGAAGTTAATTGTAAGCTTGGAAGTGAAGCATTTCATAAGTATGTCAGGATGAATGTAAGCTTTCTTAGAATTCCTCAGCCTGAAACTTTAACCTCCTACCATGTTGTTCTCTAAGTTCACAGAGTGTGGGCAATGCCCCCAAGAATGTACAGCCCTGTTAATGTTACTGGGTGTTTTATATATATCACAGGCATGCTAGGTGTGGATTATTGGGTGCATGTAGTCAGCAACCTTATTTCATCCAGTTTCTCCAACAAACACTTAGAAAATGCAAGGAACTAATAAGGAAGTTAAGTTCATGATGGAGAGGAATCTAGAGAGACAGTAGTCTATGAAGGACTAAAGTCTAAAAACACTTTTTAGTCCTTAGAATGAATGTGCTTCCTCCTGGAAGGGGATATATATTGAAGTGGATTTGCTTAGGGTTAGAGATATACCTTGATTAACATTAGAGCCTCTTTTGCACAAAAAAGGCAAAACTTACTGCTCTGGACATCTTAGGCTCCAGTGAGGACGCATGCAGCTGGATTTGCCTTGGAGTGTGGTATCTGTTGTGGCAGTGAGGGCTACCTAGGGTTCCGAATTGCTGTGTGTGTAACTCCAGCCAGACTGCACGGCCTCTCCTTCTTTTCTATCCCAAAGGTACGTTTTGCTGTTGGGTGCTCTGTCAATGCCTACCAGGATAAAACCAGCCCATTCTTCATTGTGCTTATGATAGTTTCCCTCTGGCTGACCTTGGGGCTGCAGAGTGACAGCAGCCATTGATGATGGGAGCATGGAGGCTGCCCTGGCCTGGAAAGGGTGTGCTGACCTTTTCTGCAGGAGCATCTCTAAAAGAAGAGCTGGCAGTTGTGCCATAAATGTGTTGGTGAAGGGTGGCAGTGGGCAGCCACACTTGCAAGGCAGTGAATCACACTGTCAGTCTCAGCTTGGCACTGCCTCCAGGGTGCTCCTAGTTGCCCCAGGGCAGGAAATACCCCTGGCCTTCCCAATAAGAGCATTGTACTTGGTGGTGGTGATGGAGCTCATCTGAGCAAGAGGCAGAGCTTTTTCAGGCTTGTTTGGAGCCTTGGGAAATGCCCCTGTAGGACCTCAGCTCTTCCTTGTATGTGAGGGTTTGCCTTTACCCTACCTGCGCTAACACAAACCGCACCACGCAGTGAGGTTATCCATACACATGCAGACTGTACAGGGATAAGGTGCTTACCATGCTCTGGGATGCTAGTGAATACTTGGCATGGTTTGGGTAAGCTCTGAGGATGTAGGCAGAGCGAGTTAAAATGAATAAATAACATGTCATTTAAAGCACAGGGTAAGCTGCATGCCAAGGAAAGGGGCTGGAAAACTCACTTCTCGTTTCAGCAGCATGTGAGACCCAGTCACAGGACTGGCAAAAAAGGGAAAAATCACAGCTTCTTTGCACCAAGCTTGGGCTCCTAAGTTTAAAGCTTTTCAAGAAGCCAAGTAGTGCAGGTGACAGCAGTGCAGTTTTCTGAAGGAATGTGGTTTTGGAAATGGGCCTGTTGAGAATATCTGAAGATCCCATTAGTCATCTTTTTGGTGTACTTTTGGACACCAACAGTCTCCCACTCCTCCCGAATCTTCATGGAGTTTGCGTAGCCCACAGGAGCTGCACTCAAAGGAGAATGCAGAGCTGACTTACAGGATAGCTCATGTTAGGGTAATGTCCTTCCTCTGGCTGATAGGGTGGGTGGTGGGATCCTCTAATCTTGGCCCACGAGGACATGTGAGCTTTACCATGCTTCAACTGAAAGGAAAACAGCAGGGTGAAAAGCATCCATTAAAAACTTAAGCACTGTTAAAGACAGGGAAGGTGGGAAAAATACTGCCTGTATCATAGAATCATAGAATAGTTAGGGTTGGAAAGGACCTTAAGATCACTCAATTCCAACCCCCTGCCATGGGCAGGGACAGCACACACTAAACCATGTCACCCAAGGCCCATCCAACCTGGCCTTGAACAGCTGTGGCCTTGAGCACTAGATGAAGGTGAAGAAGAGAGCTGTCCTGTGTATTTTGCATATCCAAGATTTTTAAGGTAAATGTAAAAAATAAACTGAAAAAAAAGGAAGAAGTCCATGGAGTTGCCAACAGAAAGAAACTCAAGATACTTGTTCATGGGGTTTTTGGGCTGGTCTCTCCACTGTCACACCAATACCACAGCCTGTTGCTGCTGTGGGAAAGAAAGGATTGAAGAGGATAAGAATGTCTTCAAGCAACTTCACCAATTACACTTCAATGAGGGGCGTAATGAAGGAAAGAGAGATGACCCCTTTCCCTCTCCCATCTGCTTTTCTTATTCTTCATTTAATGTATGCAAAGGAAAAGCTGGCAATAGTCACTTTCTTTAGAGTCAGGTTTTACTTTGACGATAGTAGACCTTAGTCCTTGTATAAAGTTGGCTATATTAATAATTATCATCTTTCTCCACACTTCACTCTGCCTCTCAATAGAAGAGTCAAGCCTGGGCAACGGGACATGGTATTTTTGGGTGTTTGTTCCCCATTACTGGGTGCCTAAAAAAGAAACTCAACGTGTTGCTAGTCAGCGGGAGGAATTGCCTTGTCTTCAGGGGTCACCAAAGAAACTCTTAAGGAGGCAAAGAAAGAGTAAGTTGATTTCTGAGCATGTAAGTTCTTTTCATGACTGGTTTAGGTTTCTGTAACACTTTTAGGAGCTATGTAGTTCTTTCCAAAGTGTGTTAATGCAAAGCACCAGGAATATGGAGGTGAGCCATCAGCTCATTAATACTGCCAGGAGAAAAGAAAAGAATGAGCAGACTCTGTGATGGGCAGCCCCAGCCAAACCAAATGCCACCTCTGTGGAATTAGATGTGCTGCAAGCACCAAGAGCTCGTGATAATATGACCTTTAAAAACCTTATGGTTCATTAATGGAAAAATGAGCTAAAGAAGCTGCTGCTTGAAGCTTTCAAGAAGCTGGACTGCTCACTTATACGTTAACATGTCACAGGCTTTGCCAGCTGAGCCGGGAAGCAGAGCTGACAGAGGCTCCGAACCTTTCTTTTCATATAAACCTGCACAAAAGCTGGTAGCTCTGAGGGATGCCCGCTCTAGGACGTGATGAATAGATCCTTCTGGCGCTTGTCAGAGTTGTTTCTTACAGTACTACATCGCCTTTGGTGTGAGCACCGACCGTCAGCAGTGGGTCCAGTCACAGCACTTGTATTTGCCACCATAGGGTGCAGGAATGGGTGGAAAAGACCAGCCAGGGAAACAGAGCTTGCAGGTGGGAAATGGGCAGCAGGAGGGAGAGCAGACTGCCAGCCTGTGCTGCGGGAGGGTTATCTTAAGTAGGCATGTGGGCAAGGGAAAAGAGGCAAGGTGCAGGGAATAGGTTTTGGGCAATAGGCAGTATTGAGTGTGTGCCTGCTCCGTGCCTGCCTTTGTGTTTTCCAGCCAGAAGCAGGCACCGGGACCGCAGCGGCTGCAATGGCGAGCCGTGGTAAATGCCAGCTTTGTTAGCGTGCGTGGCAACTTACCAGAAGCTCAGCGAATGCCTGTGCTTGGAGAGCCTTGCGCCGGGAAGGAAAAATGAGCTGTGAAGTAATAATGATAATAACAGGGTTCGATGGGGCAGATGTAATCCCCATTTCTTCAGCTGATCCTGGCTTGACAAAATCGTCGTCACGGGGTTCTCTTCAGAAGTTCATTTCAACACGAGCTATGGCGTGGCTCAGGCTGATCGAGAGCTAAAATACGGCATCTTTTTCTTCAAAGTTATATTTACAGAGTGCTTAAGTGAGGCAAATACCTCTAAGCAATTGTCCATGAGAATTAGGAGTTTGGGGAGAGGTTTCCCACTCATTTGTGAAACCTTTGGGTACATTTTCTGGCTTACTGTCAAGAAACCTTGGTAGTGCTGAGCTGCATGTAAGTATGTATTTGTGGCAAGCCCATAGGAACCAGGGAATAGCAAATATTGACTCTCTTGTGTCAACAGAAAAGCAAGTGCAAAACTGGCTGTGGGCAGATCAGATTTCAGTTTTCAAAGTAAATATTTGGTGTATTCTCTCTGCTTTCAGCTTAACTGGATGTGTCGATGCTGAGAGGCTGAAACACCTCACGCTGCAGGTTGCCTTAGTCTAAGACACTGTTGACATGTCGAACTCTGCGATGCCCAGGGTGCAGACAGGCACTGCTCAGATTCCTTCTTCTTCTTCCCCACAGTGCCATCTCTTAAAGCACCTCATGCAACTTCTTTGGGGCACATTCCAGTACCCCTTGGGTACTCTGTAAAACACCATGCAGGGCTTGGGGAATTCTGAAGGTGATCTAGAGCTTGCAGATTCACTACACGTCACTGCATCCTTTGGAGAAGAAATGTCTGCATGCTGTGATGAAATCCCTGTTATTTTAGTAAGACTAAGGTAAAACACAAGGGGAAGTACTTATTTACAGTAGGAAAAACTGTCACAGATATCCATGTGAGACTTCAATGGAAAAAAACATACACATGTTTGGACCTTTGAGAACCCATCTCAATGTGCTGCCTGGCTGGTGCTCTCCTGTCTCACCCTTCACCAGGTGCTTTGCCTGCCTTCCCCAGCTGTGACCACAGGTCTCCAGCAATTTCCTCTGGCATTAGCTGTCACTATGAGAACCAATCCTGCTCCTTCCCACAGAGTCCTGCCCTGCCACCTCCCCATGGTGGCCTTGGATGTGCTGTTGGGCTTGTGCAGTGGTGAGGGTCAGACCACTCATCCATGCTGAGACTTACCTTTGCTTTTTGTTGTTGTCAGGTTGTCTTTCACTGGATCGCTTCTTTCACCCTGTGGACTGTGAGGCTGCAGGGATGCTTGGGGCAACACTAGCAAAAGGTAGGTGAGAGGCAGGCGTGAGACGTGGCTGCTGGGCTGGGGAGGGGACCACTTGTGCATCCTGGCTTAAAGTCTCTCTGAAATTGTGGCCTCACGGTGAGTATTTCTGCCTGAAGCATCTTGTTTGGAGCCAAGTATTTGGTGTCCATCCATCAACAGAGATACTTGATACCATCGTTTAAACGACTTAGATGTGTGTCCCTGACTGGCTCTTGGCTGAGAGCAAACATGACAGTGATGATCAGCTACTTTGGGACAGCTTCTCATCTGGGAAGAGGTGGATATGATCTGATAGATGGGCACCTCAGAAGTGTAGGAGCCAGCTACAGGGTTGAGGTTCAAACTAAACGTGGGGCTTGAATTCTCTGCCTAATCCCAGGGATTTTCCCTCCAAATAAATGTTCATTGGCAGCTGCCACACACAAAAGCTTGCACAGAGTTACGCTGCTGTCTACTGAGCAAAGTAAGTACAAACACAAACATCAGAGCCTCGTGAGAGATAAATTGCACTTCACCACATATAATGTAATTGCCAGTCCCTAATGAGCACATCTTTAAGTGTTCACTTTGTTTTCCCACTGGACAAAAGCACTGCAGTGTGTTTTACTATATAATTATAAAAAGCCAAGGCAGGTTATTTTATTTGATCACCTTTCAAAGGGTGGCTGAAGTCACATGGGATCCTAAATCCTGCTCTTGGGAAAGTGGTAAATTTGGTTTAGATTTTGCCATTTAGGTAGTATTCATCAACATTGTAGTTGAGATTTGCCACTGAAGCCTAGGGAACTATGTTGTGGACCACAGTTTTCTCCTGTCAAAATATGAGGGCTTCAAACCCAAAAGATGAAGAAACCCCACATTAAAGGTAGTGTGAAGATGATGATTTAATTCCACATAAAGTCATGGACAGCAATAAGGTTTGATTGGAAACAGAAGAGCGCTAGCATCTTGTTCCAAATGGGTTGGATTTATAGAGCCTTTTTGGCAGAAAAGATCTGGAGAGGAGTTCTGCAGGAATCTTAGCCCCCAGGGGACTTGTTCAAGTTCACAGTAGGTTGGCAGATGCATATGTCTGCTCTGCTTCCTCAAATCAGGCAGGCTGGGCAGCTAGTGGGTGATGGCTGTATATAAGGCAATGCAAGTCGAAGGTCTAAACTAGCAATAACTTCCCAAACAACAGCATTTATATGCACAGGGAAGCAAATACATCTTGGTGACATGTGTGTTGTTGGGGCTTTGGAAAGTAAATACGAAATGCCCAGAGCATATGAAATGGAAGATGATGTTCCAAGAGAACCAATTTCACTTGAAAGGGTATTATGTGGTAGCCCAAAACAGAAGTCAGTTCAGTGGTGTAAGGATGCTGCAGTATAAAAGAAATACTAGAGAAACAGGGAAGTCACAGGGAATCAAATCTGAGATCTGACAAGGCCATAACCTGTGTTTCTAGAACAGAGAAAACTGAGGCCTGAAGGTTTGTTGAAAAAACCCTTATTTTCTTCTTTCTTTGCAAGGGTTCTGCTAATGAATGACTCAGCCTTATATAAGAACAGTCTGGATGGGGCATAGTAAAGGTGAGTCACTAATAACAAATTTACAGATTTTCCTCGGGACTCTTCCTCACAGGACCCTGATATTGGGAAAAACAAAGGGAAAAGCAAAGCCTTGCATCAAAAGTCATATAGCTACAAGTATGTGATTTGCAACTGCAAGGAAATGTCATTTGTCTCACTTTGCATACACATACTAGGCAGTTATATATGATTATTATACAGGAAAGTGTAAGACAGTGGTAGGAAAAGACCAGCAATACTACGGACATGAGATGTGTGAAGATTGGACAACTCAACAGTGAATTTAAGTGGGTCAGCCCTTTGGATAATGACTTACAGTGCGTGATGCACCCAGAGATCAGACAGGTTGGGTGACATTGTTCCCCCAGCAGGCAGATGTTTGCCAGGTTACCTTTGCACTCTGCTGGAATAACCACCCATGTCTGAAACCTGGGTGGTAAAACCAGTGCTCCCAACCCAGGTGTATTTTATGGAACTAGGATGGACACTGGATATATATTGCTTTTAAAGCTCGTTTATCTATCTGAAAGCTCTGGTGGGTGGCAACCCTCTTGTTTCTTTGGTCTAGTCCCTCTCAGTTTCCCACATCTGGGGCTTGGAATGTCTCTTTATATTGGAAAATAATCATAAAACGGCTTGGGCCATGGCTGAGCCATTCTCTAAAGCAAAAAAATCCAATCCCCCCCACCTCCCCCAAAAAGGAAGGTACCTTTAGGTCTGCTCTGACTGTCCAGCTAACACAAATCTGTTGTCCTTGAACAGGGTGATTCCCATTTAGTTGAACATGAAACGTATTTAATGAATAAGTAGATACTTTTATGTCTCAAAGCTGATGCCAAATTTTACTTTCTTTCTACTGAAAATCAGAATCTCGTAGGGCTAAAAGCTGGTGCTTCTGTCTTTGCTTGCCTCACATGTTGAAAATGATGGTCTTTTTCTGCTGGGAGAGTCAACTATGCCCCGATTGAGCACTTCTCAGGATCACTCCCACTGGAATTCTGCACAAATCACCTCTAATTAAAATTCCTTTCCAGAAAACAGCTCTGGAAAGGCAATATCAAACCCATCCTTTATGAAGTTAAACTCCTGGCAACAAAATCAGAGGGGATAGCAGTCGAATGGGAAGCACCAACTGGAGGATCCTGGAGCAGACTTCACTCTTGGTTTTCACTTTCTGACTCTGAAGAGCAAATGGAACTGTGACCGGTAAAACAAAGCTCCTAGAAAGAAGTCCAGGCTCCAGAAGGCTGATACCACCCAGGCACCAGCTGTGAGGAGGCAATAACCTCTGCTTTTGAAAAGAAACAGGCAGTGCCAAGTTGCTATTGCTGCACTTGAGGGTTATGTGTCTGCTGAATTCAGCTGGTTTTAAGGGCCGTGCACATCCAGGGTCTAGGATACTCATGCTAGTCCCTAGTATGAGTATCCTCCTTCTGACCACCATCACAGTGTGCAGCATGAACCAAAAGGAGTGTTATTTTGGTAGGAGTGAATCCTTTGTCAAGTAACACCAAGGAGGAGCCAAAACTCATTTGGACACTGGGTATGTCTTCCCTGGAGGCAAGAACTCACAGCATTTCAAGAGAATCCATGGCAGACTCTGCAAGGTGAGAGATTGTGTTTATCCAAATATCATCTCATTTTAAATAATTTCAGTTTTTTATGTTATGCAGTTGTTTTTATGTTTGTGTTATGTTTCTATGTTGACAATCTGTGTTTACCATGATGTACTGGGACATCCTATCCTTTTGATGTTAGTAAATAGAGGCAAGAAGCAGAGAAGGCAGGTAATGGGGAGCAAGCAGGAGCTGGTTTTCCAGCAGAAATGTCTGGTTGTGACCCGAGGAGGTGCATGAGGAGGAGGTGGGAAAGATGGGTACAGTGAACCACATGGGCTATGAACAGGGGAGGTAGCAGAAGCTGAGAGCAGGGCACACCACAGGTAGGCTGGATTGGGAATGTGATTTCAACAGCTGTACTTTCCAAAGGTCTCCTCACTCTGAAGCAGCACTTTAGCTCTGCTTGTCAGGTGTTAGAAGCTAATGAAAGAGCCAGGCATTCAGGTCCCTCACAGAGAATAAAAGGTTTTGAATAGCCTTTAGCTCACAGCAGATATAAAGGTCTATTCCTGATGCTGCTGAACTGTAAGGGGTCTGTGTTTTGGTGCTGGTTGAACCTGCGTCCCCAGGTGACCTAGTCTGGAGACAGAGCTATGCTCTTATTGCCAGCTGTGCACTGCTGTGCATCCTGTGATTGCAGTCAGAGTGATGTATGCAAGTACCTGGTGACACAACTGGTGATGCAGGAGGTGAATGCAACAGCTAAACACTCAACTTCCTATGCAATTGCATGTGAACAGGTCTGTCTCTCATGTCTTTATCAAATACAGCTCAGCTATAGGAAACCAGGACTCTCCTTGGTCCAAGATTTGCTAATGTTAGGTTGCTGCAAGATTATTTCGTGATACAAAGGGATCAAAGGCAATGGGCAGACTCTGCAAGCAGAGCAGCTGAGATGAATGAGACTGTGGGGTTCCCTTACTGCTATTGTCACAAAAAATACAAACTAGCTACTGCTTGAGAGGAAGCATTTGTACCCCCCTGGGCAGGTCATCCTGAGCCTGAAAACAGTGAGGTTTTGAAGAATGACACGTAGCAAAGAGTAGAACTGGCCCTGTTCTACTAGTAGATCATAGAAATAGATATTCGTTTCCTAAATTAAATTATTAATTTCAGTGGTTTTGAACCCAAACTTTGCCTTTCTATTTTGACACCATACTGTTAAACATTCAGATTCATGTGCCGTCATCCTCCTCCTGTTGGCTGGGTTTTGGTTTTCTTTTTTTTTTTTGACAGAAAGTTCTTAACTTTTGTTCTACATCTGTAATTCTAAGCCTTTTCATTTTAATTTGAGCTAAATGTTTCAGGCTGACCTGAAATAATGTCTGGTTTTGCTTTTTGCATTGTTTAGGAGTATTTTTTCTACACCTCCCCTCTGCCTTCGGTTGGAAACTGAAACTAACAGTGTTTGCCAGCTTTAAGTGAAAATGAGTAAATATCCCTTAGTCATTGGGTGAGATTTTTCACTGGCTTTGAGCATTATAATCCTGCTGAAGTCAGAAGAACCAGACTGATTTATACCAGATGGTTATCTGGACCCCCGAGGGGAATGAAATCAGTATTGTGGATTAAATTTACCATCAATACAAGAAGACCTGTTTGCATTAGCGGGATTACATCTGTGCTTCCTCACAGATAAGTTCTGTTCCAGACTCCTCTCCTAGTGCTTCTACCTTCATGCTGCAGATGGTGGCTCAAACTAACAATAGAAGCACAGAAGGTGTTTTGCTGGATTAATAATTCAGCCTTTGGACCCAAGATTTGCACCAGTGTTTGCGTGACCCTAGATTTTAAGTAGCTTGTTCATTTTGTATGTTTGTGCAGGAAATGAGTGTGGAGACCAGAATGAAACAAAATGAATGGGGAAATAATTGGTTTGGTTGACTTTTATTTTTATATTTTTTAAGGGCGGACACAATAATCAAGAAAAATTGAGGTTTTTTTGCTAAAGGAAATTCGGACAACAGGGGTACTTTGTATGGCCACCAGAATGGCCGTGGGCATGAACAAACTGGTGGGGAAAGACTTCCTGAGGTATTGCTTTCACATAAGCAAGGAAACTGTTGCCGCTTGGAAAATGAACCCTGCAATTTATGAGCACAAAGGACTTGAAGTCAATATTTTGTTCTCCATAGTTATTCAATAATGACTTTGACAGTTCCTCTGGGTTTGAGGAGATACAGGTTTTTTTGGGGCTGGCAGGATGCAATGGACTAGCTGATTTCCAAAGCTGTCACTTATCTTTGATTTATATCTTTTCTATTTCCCTTTTTGGATTAGTTAGTACCATCAAGCTCTTGCCTGCTTTGGCTCCGTGTGCAGCAGCCTGTCTCCAGGATAATTCCAGGATGCCTTCTCCAGCATCATCTAGAAGAGGTTGCAGCCCTGCTTCTGTCTCGCCCTGTTATGAGTGAGTTTTAAAACCTAGAAGGACATTGGAGTTGTGCCCGACCTTGTGCTGAGCCCCATGCACTCTTCCTAAACTTCTGTTGAATCTATGTTTGTAGCAGATGAAGCACTGAATCTTTGTCACTCACCACTGGTACTGGTGAGGGTGGTTCTTGCCTGTTTGAGTAGCACAAGTCTTTCTTTCCCAGCAGCGTTCAGCCCTCTTCTGCATCTGTGTCAGTTATTTACAGGCTTGAACTGATTTAAAGTGACAAGCACAGGGGAAACTGTCTAGGATGTATAATTTGCTGTGAATTATTTCAAATTAGAGAAGAAAGTGACGAATGAGGGCTCCTGGCTGTAGTATCAGCATGGTCTCCATATGTCTGTGTGAATTTCATGGACAAATCCCTTCATAAAGACAAAGCCTTGTGCTGCACTTAGGATCCCTGATTGCTTCCTCTCCAAGGAGCATGGAAGAATTCCTTTTAGCAGGGTCACATGGAAGCATCCTGGTGGTCTCAGGGATCCATAAACATGTGTAATCACACCTGCCTGTCTTCCAAGGAGATCCTCATGTGGAAAAACTAACTGTAGCATAGTTGTAGTATATAGCTGACATAGAAAAGTGGATGAATAATTTTGGGGAGGATTTTATATGGCCATTCTGGAGCTGTGTTAGTTAAAGACAATGACAGCTTTTTGAAGCACACTACAAAAGCAAAAAGGATTTGGGGTCTTGTTATTGCTCCACCTGTAGTGCTGCTGCTTCCTTATTCCTAGGGAATGAAGGCAGCTGCCAGAAATACCCTTCTCATCTCAGGTTTTTCCTATTTTCTTCCTATTTCCTCATTTCTCTGTACCATCCATCTCCATTGTGCAAACTGAGTAATGAGACTTCACTAAGGCAAACCAGAGAGTGAAAGGCAGCTCTACAGACTTTGGATTATTTAGCGTTAAGCTGTTATCAGGGAATGTTTATAAAAAAGAGTGTGTTCCCAACAGGCCTGGCACATAAAGAATTTCTGGCTCCATGCGTTAATTCCTGCAGGGAGATGTTGATCCTTCATCTAATGTTTGTTTTACCTGCTCCCCACCAGAGCATTTTGCTTTTAAGAACATTGCTGTCATATGGCCACAGGCAGTTGCTTCAGAGAGGAGTTCTACAGCTCCTTGATAGGGAAATTGTATTTATTTGCTCCTAATAACATCTATGCTCCTTGTGATTTCTTTGAGGGAGGTTGTGCTACCTGTAAAGCCGCTTTTTTCACCTGCCAAATCATTCAACTGTATTAACAGCATGAAGGGAACCAAATTTTCTCCTATTCACTCTCCTAGATAAAGCACTTGCTGAGATACAGGAAATATTGATGCGAATTTGAAGTAACTTGGGATCTTTTTTTATAGTAACACAAGTTTTGAGGAGTAGATGCTAGAAATGCAATGTTACTCTGCCTGCTTCTTCAGCTTGCTTGAAAATGGACAGGTAGACTTATAAGAGGGAACCCTGCTTCCAGTGGAATGGGAAGCAGTTGTTTCCCTGTGGGTCTGGATGACTGGGTCTGTAGCACTAGCATTGTATGAAACTGAACTTTAATCAGCCTTGTAAACACTCTTTATGGAGTTATTTACATGGAGTCATGACCCTCACTTTGGGAGCAGCTCAGTGCCTGGGCAATGGAAGTGTCTCTTGCTATCCTGGGCCAGTGCTTCTTCCAGTGACTTGAAGATGACCTGGCACATGTAAAGACTGCCTTGTGTGTTTTGTGCTGAACCAGGCTTCAAATAATGATGACTTAACAGCGAGAGTGACAAAAAGACACCTGTGAAATTGTCTGATGGGGGTGATTCTGGCTTAATGCAAATGTAGTATTTTGCTATGCCACCTCTCTGCCTGGTGGCTCTCTGGGTCCCATGGGAAGCCACAGGCATCGCAGGATGTCCCTGAATGCCTGGACCTGGGGCTGCTCCTGCTTTCTACAGCGAGGGGAGCAGAAGGGCTCTGCAAGGTGAGCACCCTCTGAGCTCAGTCCTGCTGAGGTCAGGGGGAATTATGTCCATGGCAGGAAGACAGGATCTTAATATGTTTTAGAGGAGATATCTTGTACAATTATTTCCTCTGGCCTTATCCAGCGCTCTACTGTGCGTGGCAATTAACCTAAGGTTTGCTTGTGACAGAACGTGCTTGCTTGTACAAGTCCCACTGCCTTTCTGCTCTAAATGGCTAATTTTACACAAGGGGGAAGCTTTTTAAACATTAATCCCATTTTTGAAGAAGATCTTGACAAAGGAAGATGAGTCCCTTAAATACCCGCAGGCCCAGCATCCTGCAGCAATGAGGACGCAGTCTTGGGAGTTCCAGTATTGCACTTTTAATTGCAGCTATATAGTATAGCTGTGCAATGAAACTCTGCTCCCATAGAAGGCACTGGTAACGTTCCTACTGTGCTTAAGTAAGCCAGGGCTTCCTCATTTAGTCTTTGGCTGAGGAGCATGAGATGAGCAGCACAAGTGGGGGCTGCAGGTCTTCCTTTTTGTCATGCAGTTTAACTACTGTGCTTGTCACTGTCCTGTTGTCTTTG